GCGACGTTTTTGAAGATGCAATATACCGTGGTCAGCTTGTTGATATAATTTTTAATAACTTTGCTAAAGCATTTGACACAGTGTCACACAAAACTTATGCGTATGGTATTTGGGACCAGCTATTAAACTAGATAACTGAATGGCTAGAAAATAGACAACAACAAGTAGTCATTGAAGAAAAAAAATACCCAAATGGAAACAATTAGCGTCCCTCAAGGTTCAGTTCTTGGACTATTACTAGTTGTGATTTTCAGTAAAGATTTATCAGATTGCATCAATAATTAAATAAAATTGTATTCCAATGATAGCAAGGTCATTTAAATTGTTAATATCAATCAATCTTTCTTTATTCTGAAAAACTGCAAACAGACATTAACAACTTTGTAAATGGTTGCACAACTAACTTTTGAACTTCAACGTTAAAAAGTGCAAAGTAATGCATGTTGGTGGTTGCAATAACAAATCAACACACATCTACGCAATACACAGTGAGCCAGAATTGTTTTAAAATGGCAAAACTATTTATGAGTTAAATATAGACATATAATACATGTTTATGGAGGTTTTTGGGGTCAAAGAATTCATTTCCGGGCTTAATTTTAAGTTTGAAGGGGTTATGACCACATATCATAACCACTCCAAACTATATATTAGGAGTTGTCACGGGTGGTTATATGATGTTTCGACGGTTTTTTAATTAGATGGAATTTTTATTACCTAAACATAGATAATTAAGGTCAGGGAATTCAAATCTAAGTACCAGTCATTATGAATACAAAAGAAAACTGGCTAAGGTAACCAAAGTCCTCATTTTTACGTAGGAGAGTGATGAACAATATCTAATAAGAATTTTATGGAAATTTTTCTAAAATCCAGTAAAAGAGAAGTTTTATTGGTAAAAGAAAATAGAATTTGTTTCCCAAATCTAATAAATGGGGGTTTATTTAAAAAAAAGCCTCTTGAATTCTGGTCACCATAATTAACGCCTTAAAGAGCTTATAACTATATTGGAACCTTTAGCAAAAGCTGTGATTGAATTAAGTAAAATTAAGGCAAATTTGATGTTTTACGAGGGAACTATGATTTTTGTCTTTAATAAACTTAACAATATTGGCACACTTTGGGCTCTAAATATGTGTACCGAGCTAATTAAAGAAACACATATGTAGTTTCTCTACTGATGTTCCTTCACAATGGCAAAAATTTTTCAACAAAAATACGTTCCAGATTGAGTGTCGAAACTCTAGTTTCGACACTCAATCTGGAACGTATTTTTCAAATCCCGCGGAGATTTTACTCATATGAATGATATGACAAATTTTACTCATATGAATAATATGACTAGTAATAATAATATGAGTGTTACTATTTTATATCTGTTTTATCGAATACATTTTATGAATTTATAAATTTTCACGTATCCCTACGGGCATTTTTGGAGAAAAAATTGAGAAAAAACTTAAGGAGGGCCCCTTTATTTTTTTGGCGGAGGGGGGGGGGCTCCAAATTTATAGTTACGCCACTGAAAATGTTCCTATACTGAAAACTGAACTAATTTTAAGTATTCATAATAGACAAAAATATATTTGTTATCTTGTATTTTTATTGTTTGATTTTTCTTCATTAATTACACGGGTAATCCGGGTAGATGAAAATTGAAGCGTCGAGTACCAGGTTAGTAAAATTCACGAGTAATTATATTCCCAAATTGGATCATTACGGCTACATGATTGCTAATGTATATAAAAGAAGTGCAAAAGTGGTACTAACTTTATTAAAAATTCAATAATCTTGTTGCACGATAAAAAACTGACAGTTATTGATGCTATGTATTTTTTTTTTTTTTTTTTTTTTTAACATTATATTTTGCCGTTTAATAAGTATTACAGTTTACATAAATTTACAATTAAGTTAATATCCGGAGCAAGAAGAAGGCATTAATTTGCCTTATCGCCGAGTACTGTGTTACAATTTATATTTTTTTACAAAGTTATTGAAGAATATATAGTATACAAGAAAATTGAATAAATGTTTACAAAAATATAAAAAATAAAATAAGATATCGTTTAATACATAATATCATAAATAGATTAGGTAAAAGTAAAAAAGAATATATACATTTTTTTTTTTTTTTTGGTGTACATTTGTTAATCGTTGTACAGCTTTAAATAACCCATAATAAAAATAATAATATAAACTTACAATGACATTAAACATAGCAAACATAAACAAGGTATCTGAAGGAAGATCGCAAGGATCTTGTCGTCAGAACCTTAAAAAAGCATTTAACAAAGATAAGATAAAAAAAATTAATAAACTTTTAGAAAATTGCAAGGTAAACAATCTGTGTCTGAAGAAAAATCAAAAGGATCTTCTCATCAGATTTTTATAGAATAGTAAACGAGCATATAAATTAAAAAGTAAAAAGTATAAGAACAATAAATAAAATAATTAGGAATAAACTTCTAAAAACATAAACATGTATATAAACAATAAAAAGTGTAGACCAAAATATATTTTTAACTTTTACTACTAATAAAACTCAATATATTACCTAACGAAAGTATATTAATATATTATCTAACGAAAGTATGAGATTTTTCAGTTTTTTTTAAAAAACTATTAAAGGTAATAGATACTACAATATTAAAACTCGGCAAAATTTTATTCCAAATGTGAGGTGTCTATTGAGAGAGATTCGTAATTTATAAAGGATGCCCATGTTTTTAGAAATTTTTGTGCTTATATAATCAATATGGTGATTCCAAGTAATGTTTTCATCAAGATAAACAAGGAATAAATTTGTATCATCTACATACATAATGCTTGTTAGTTTTGAAGCTTTATTTAAGTCATTTGTATAAATTAAAAAAAGGAGAGGTCCAAGAATTGAACCTTGTGGGACTCCACAGGTTATATTAAGAAAAGTGGGTTGGTAATCATTGTTAAATGGTACATATTGCTTTCGGTTAGATAGATAACTTTTAAACCATTTTAAAATTTTATTTTTTATTCCGTAGTATTTGAGTTAATAAATTAAAAAATGGTGATCGACCGTATCAAAAGCTTTTGATAGGTCAATAAAAATTTCTAATGTATATTGTGACTTTTCGAATGATTTTGAAATTTTAAGTACAAATTGGATAATTCCATGTTCAACTAAGTTATCTTTCTTGAAACCAAATTGGTTGATGTAAAGTAGATTATTATCATGAAAATATTTGTATATTCTTTAAACATAATTTTTTCTAAAATTTTCGAAAGTGTGGAGAGAATAGAGATAGGGTAATAATTACTGATTTGCGATTTGTCCTCTTCTTTAAAAATAGGAATTATTTTTTCAATTTTTAATTGTTCTGGGAATATTTCTTGATGTATAGAAGCCCTAAAGATTTTAAAAAGAACAACTAAGTTTTTCAAAGCAATCAAAAACCACGTTTCCATTAATTATAAATAGACAATAGATTTCTACCCATCACGAAGAAAATCACAGAAAGAGTCCCAGTTAGCTTTAAGGTAGTTGTAAAAGGCACGATGATAGAGGGATTCAGATGATAAAGAAAAATGAGATAATAGTTTTAGAGTAATCAAACCGTGATCAGAAGTACCTAAGGGTGAATGTGGAAAAACTGAGCACTGACTAGGATCAGAAACAAGACATAGGTCGAGTAGAGAAGGTAAATAAATCGGGTTTACTGGAAAGCTGACTATTTAAGTTAGAGATTAAGAAAGACAAAAGTTGAGGGCCAGTGACTCTGCACCAGCAGAGTCACTGAAACTAGAGCCAAGCTAATCAGTGTGATGAACATTAAAGTCACTAACAACAACAATATTGGCTGATGGATAAGGGCTATTTATAACAACGATATTAGCTGATGGAGAGAGGGCATGGTCAATATTATCAGAGGTACCATCAAAAAGAGTTCAGTCTTGAGATGAAGGAGAGCGATATAGAACAAAGAGAAAGGCAATAGAGTGAAGTGGTGGTAAACGAAAGCACATAAAAGAATAGTCTGTGGGTTCAAACCTAGTTTCCCGACAAATGGGTGAATTCTTATGAATGTAAATACCCAGACCAAGCATGTGACTATCGGAGAGTCTTTACGAATTAAAGGAAGATAACCCTCAGCACTAAGATCACAAGATGAGGCATCTGAACTCAAATTAATCTCACAAAGAGTAAGTAGGTCTGGTGAACTTTGCAAGAGATAAGACTCAACAGAAGAAGTTACTTCGAAGACCACGAATATTAGTGAATGAAAGGTTTAGAGAACTTGGTGATGACGATGGTTTTTTGTTTTATAGTTTTTGGTATTTTAGTCATTTAAAATTTTTTAAAGAACTTGACTCAAAGCATAGATAGTACTCAGTCACTATTTAATAGGCCAAGCAATTGCCTTATTTCTATTAATAAACAAATTAATTAAATTAGACAAAATTAAAAAAGACCAACCAGAAACAACTTATAAATTGCTTATTAAAACTTGTGTTATCAATTATTTATAAAAATAGGCAAATAAGCAAGAATCATAAAATCCTTTTTGGAAATCAAAGGACAAAAATGTTGCGTATATGCATTAGCGATATTGAAAAGGGGCAAGTTTAGTTATTAGATTAAATTTTTTTTAAAATCTTGACATGATAGGTTTGTTATTATGTTTTACTTTAATCACCAAAAAGCTAAGAAATATTTTTCTTGTCAGCCGTTAAAACTGCTGAGCTAAAAAAGAAACTCTAAAAGTCTGAAAAATCTACAAAGAAAAAACTAAGACTCAAAAACAACGAAACAAGAAATAACAACAATCAACACACTCAAAAATATTTTTTTATTTAGCCAAGAAAAAATAAAAAAATAAATCATATACAACATATTTATAAACATATATTCAAAAACTTTTACAATATTAATATTTAATTTTTTTATATATAACTATTATAATATTAAAACATAAATTAAAAAAAAATTATAAACATTTAAAAAAATATTAAACAATTTGCAACTTTAAGATTATTAGTACAAAGAAATTAAAAAACTTTATCAAAGAAATATTAGTCTAACAGAATAAAGAAAGTTGTAAAATAAATCGTTTTATAATTTTTTTTAAAAAAAATCTAGATTATTTATTTTATCTTTTTTGAAAGTACTAGTTGATTGAAATACAATTGGCTCTAAATCCTCAAAGTCATCATTAAATTCAACTCCTATATCTTTTTCATCAAGCTCGTCTTCGAACATTTGTTGTAATAAATATTCTGCATTATTCCACTGGCTTTTACGAAGTTGAAAGGTCATACCTGATTTATTAAGATATTCCTGTATATTGAAGTCGCTGTCAAGATTAGCAAAATCAATTGTATCATTCACTGACAAAGTTGGCCTATAATAAAGATTGCATTATTCACTGACTAAGTTGGTCTATAATAAAGAATGTTTATAACTAACAAACTTAGGTCACATTTTTGTTTTTTTACTTTGCATTTTATTTAAAAAATACCAACTTTTAAATATAATTATATATTTATACATGATTTCAATTACTATATACAATTTTATAATATATTATAATTATGGTGTCACTCGTTTGATCAAGTGATGAACAAGTGACACCATTTTTATCAATCATCAGTTTATTATCACCGTTATTGTTCTTGTTATAACAGTGATATTACTTTTTTAAATCATCTACATCCTACCATATTTTAATTCTATTTTAATTCTAAATTATTTAATTAAAATGGTTGAGAGTACTAAAATCTTACAATAAGATTATTCCATTTGATTTATTTTTAATTTAAATACAAATACTGTCTCTTGAAATTTATTAGATTCACAATTTAATTAAAATTAATTGTGAAACAAATAATCTAGTTGAAAAAAGAATATTTTTCTCGAATTTATTTTTAAAAAGATTAGTTTAAAAAAATTTACTAACATAAAAGAAAAAAAAAATTACTCAGCATTAGATGTGACTTTTCCTTTCTCTAGTATTTTCTTCTCCAACGCTATTTGAGAATTCCGTTTTGAAAGCGAATACTGAACAATGAATGCTTCCAAGATAAATGCAACAAAAATACTAAGAGAAATACAAATACATATATAACAATCAAAACACTCATTAGAAAAAAACGCGAATACAAAAATATTTAAATAACTTACTTAAGGACAACAATAACACAGAAGAAGTGGAATGACACAAAGTAAATTCGAGCAAACGAGTTGGTTACACGAACAAAACCATCGGTTATAACTTTATACAATTAAAGTCAAATAATAAACAATATAACAAAGCAATAAAAATAAAATAAAAAATTACTAATGTTGATGTAAAATATCTATTTTATTATAAATTATTATTTATTTATAAAAATGATATTTATTATTAATATATTATTAATAATATGAATATATTATTAATAAATTTCATCATTATTAATAATAAAATATTAATTTTTCCAACATGATAAAAAAAGTAGCCATATTATAAATTTGCTTTGTGCACTAAATTCTATTTATTTAAACCCAAAAGTGTACAGAACTATTTCAGAAATAATTTCATAGACTAGCGTTGCGTATTTGTTTGTCAAGGTGTTACTTACAGTGTACTTACAGAGTACAATTACAGCGTTTGTCAAGGCGTTTTTGAGTTACAGGATTGAGTGAGAGTTGTAACAATAAGTTCCTGACCCTTGTGACCTTAGTTGTAACAACAAATAGCCTCCTGACCCCGTGACCTTTTTATTGTATTCAAGAAAATAAATACAATAAAAAAATTTCATACTTGCACTTTAATACAGTTGCTAGTTCTTGCAAGATATTAGATATTTTAATTAGTATTATAAATCTTATGATAAAACAACTTATGATAAATGTCCCATGATAACACTTTAACAAGAGATTTCCAACATCTTGTTCTATATTGATACTATATTTAACTGTAATAACAGAAAATTTCTATTGAGTACTAGATTAAGAAAGTGAGATCAAGGATGTGGGGTATGAGCCCCACATTCTCGATCTAGATTGATTTTGATATTTATTAAAGAGCTTTGATAAAATCAGCATGCCAAACTTTAGCAAAGGCTTTTGATAAAGTCTGGTATGTTGGTATTTTCAATAGGCTTACTTCATATAGCGAAAGTTTTTAAAATTATCAAGCCATGACAAAATAAGTAACTTTTTTATCATTTGGAACATGTAGCCGATCTTAAATATAATCTTGTTTCTATGACAACTTGAGGCATGAAGTGACTTGTGAATTATGATTCAAACAAAACTCAGTTGTTTACCGTTAATTATTATTGTTATGTTGTTGATGTTTCTATAATGACAACACTCTTACCCAGTCCTTTACTTTATACTTTCTCAAATTATCTTTCTCAACTAAATCTCTCATAGAATCCATATATACATTCAATTGATAAGTTGGCATTTGCTAAAGTTGTCTTACTTTATTCTGTTTGCCATTTTCTTACTTCTGATTCCATTCTCAACCTCTATAAATTTCTTATTTGTCCCTGTTTGTATGTCATCATATATTTGGTATGATTCTTTTAACAAGGTCCTTTCTAATTTAAACAAGGTCCAAAAATGCATTGTAAATGTTTTTGGATCTAGCAGTCAAGCTTGAAACTTTATCCCATTGTTGTAAAACTGCATATTTTTCTTTTTTCTGAACACTGCTGCTGTTACTGCTCAACCGAGCCATCATCTCTGGTTCCAACCAGAACCTTGAATGACTTGTAATTCAAAAAGTCAAAGCTTTTTATTGTAACTGTTCTTTCATTTTATAAAATATTTTAGTCAATTTTTTAGAACAATAGTGCTTTAGAATTTTCCCATGCTTTTGTCTTCATGCTTTCCTTACAATTTAAAATTTAACTCATCTTTCAGCTATTTTATTGTCCATTATTTCGCTTGCTGCATTGTTAATGTAAATTAACAAAAAAATGACTTAAAACAATGTTTAGCCACAAAAAATCAACAAAAATGCCTGTATCAAGAACAAAAAAATCTATTTACCAAAAAAGCATCATTTTGATGACAATCAGAATGATGCTTTTTTGATCGGATCAGGCAAAGATCATCATTCTGGTGACCTTGACCTGATCTGGCTTATGTAAAATCTGTACAAAACTACATGAATGAGAAAAAGATCAATTTTGTAAGAAGAACCCTGCAAATGCGTGTATATATATATATATATATATATATATATATAAACTAAATATATATATATATATATACTAAATATATATATATACTAAATATATATATATATATATATATACTAAATATATAAAATTTGTTTAATTGCTTTTTTTTTAATTAGAAAAAGATACTGTGCCACTGATTCACATTCATTAGATCAAATAGAATGTTAAAAGACTTAACAATATTATTAAAGTTTTTTTCACAATATTTTAACCTAGCAAACTCTGAATCTTTCAACTTTATATTTCCACAAAACTCACTTAATGATATATTGCTTGTATTAAAAGTAACATAACCATGTATAAGGTTGCTAAAAACTTCCATCCCAATAATACCGTAGACATAATATAGTATCTAAAAAAAAAAATCTATTACAAATAATTGTGAAATTTGCATGTATTAATGGAATGTATTATTTTTTGTTTTAATGGAATAGAATAACAAAATTAGAAAGAATTCTTACAAATACGATCCCCCCATAAGTAATTATAGCTGGTCCGATTTGTATAATTGTCTTCAAGATAACATTTAAACTAAATGAAAAAAATAGTTTGAAAAAGTCAATGTTAATATAACTTATATATGAACTCACTAATCCAAGATACATACCGATTGAAGTTTGCTACAAGCTTAAACAAACGTAGTATTCTAAGAATCAGTAAGCAGTCAACAATAAATTCACTATATCCAACTTTAAAGAAAAAAATAAAAATAAAAATGGTAT